CAGCAGATTGACTCTGCATATGAAATTCTCTTTCAAAGATTGACAGCTGTCCTGAGCCTTCTCTCCCTCCTTAATATATCCCAAGGAAATGTGTTCTCTTTGTACCACTGCAATAGTTCAGCACCTACATCCTTTCATGATGCCTTCTTATCTGAACAGTCCTTAAATTTTCCTATTACTGTAATTGGTCTCCCATTTAATCTCCAGCAATAGGCTTTGGGATGCCCAGTATCATTATAGTGACAGCATGTTAATTTCTTTAGATCACTTTTCAGTTCCAGCCTTTCTCCATTATTACATTGACATTGTTCTGTCTATTCTCGAAAACTAATATTTATTCCATCTGTAGATTTTCTATATTTTCAATTTCATTGTGGATTTCCATATGACCATTTCCCCACTTATAACTGTCGATGTGGTTAATAGGATGGTTAATAGGACTTTAAACGAGTAAGTAGGGGGGAAGGGAGAAGTGAGCGTAGAGGGAGAATAACAATTAGTGTAAGGCAAAGCAGCAGATTAGCAGGTGACAAGGAAGTTTCAACTCCATTGAAAATTAGGAAAAAAGTTAAAGGGAAGGAGCTGTTACTAATGGAGGTAATAGGACCCAAAAAGAAGGTGTAAAAACTGGCATAAGGGCACTTTATCTGAATGCTCAGAGCATTCAAAACAAGGTGGATGAGTTGACGGTGCAAATCATGGCAAATGGGTATGATTTAGTGGCCATTACAGAGACATGGTTACAGGATGGTCATGACTGGGAGTTAAATATCCAGGGGTGTCAAACTGTTCGGAAGGACAGACAGGAAGGTAAGGGAGGTGGTGTTGCTCTGATTTTTAAGGATGATATCAGGGCGGTAGTGAGAGATGATATAGGTTCTACTGAACAAAACGTTGAATCCATTTGGGTGGAAATTAGGAATAGCAGGGAGAAGAAGTCACTGATAGGTGTGTGGTCTATAGGCATTGTGGTGGGGCGGGCAATAAACATAGAAATAGCTAATGCATGTAAAAATGGTACAGCAATTCTCATGGGGGATTTCAATCTACATATCGATTGGTCAAACCAGGTCGGTCATGGCAGCCTTGAGGAGGCGTTCATAGAATGCTTTCCTTGAACAATATGTAATGGAACCTACGAGGGAGCAAGCTATCCTAGATCTAGTCTTGTGTAATGAGACAGGAATAATTAATGATCTCACAGTTAGGGATCCTCTCGGAAGGAGCGATCACAGTACGGTCAAATTTAAAATACAGATGGAGCGTGAGAAGGTTAAATCCAGTACCTATGTCCTGTGCTTGAACAAAGGAGACTATGAAGGAATGAGGAAGGAGTTAGCTAAGGTAGAATGGGAGCAAAAACTTTATGGTGGGTCAATTGAGGAACAGTGGAGGACTTTCAAAACAATTTTTCACAGTGCTCAGCTGAAGTATATTCCAGTGATAAGGAAGAACTGTAGGAAAAGACAGAGCCAGCCATGGATGTCGAAGGAAATAAAGGAAAGTATCAGATTAAAAAAAAACACACAAAAAAAAGCAAAGAGTAGTGGGAAACTAGTAGACTGGGAAATCTTTAAAGGCCAACAGAAAGCCACAAAAAAAGTTATAAAGAAATGTAAGATAGATTATGACAGTAAACTAGCTCAGAATATAAAAACAGGCAGCAAAAGTTTCTATAAATATGTAAATCGTAAAAGAGTGGCAAAGGTAAACATTGGTCCTTTAGAGGATGAGAAGGCCAATTTATTAACTGGGAATGAGGAAATAGCCGAGACATTAAGCAGTTATTTCGTGTCGGTCTTCACAGTGGAAGACACAAATAACATGACGAAAACTAATGGCAAGAAGGTTATAGCAGGTGAGGACCTAGAAACTATCATTATCACTAAGGAGGCAGTGCTGGGCAAGCTAATGGAGCTAAAGGTCGACAAGTCTCCCGACCCTGATGAAATGCATCCCGGGGTACTAAAAGAGGTGATGGGGAAATAGCAAATGCACTAGTAATTATTTACCAAAATTCACTGGACTCTGGGGTGGTTCCCGCAGATTGGAAAACAGCCAATGTGACGCCACTGTTTAAGAAAGGAAGTAGACAAAAAGCAGATAACTATAGGCCAGTTAGCTTAACTTCAGTAGTGGGGAAAATGCTTGAATCTATCATTAAGGAAGAAATAGCAAGACATCTGGATATAAATTGTCCCAATGGGAACACCCAGCATGGGTTCATGAAGGATAGGTCATGTTTAACTAATTTGGTGGAATTCTTTAAGGACATTACTTGCATGGTGGACAATGGGGAACCTGTGGATGTGGTGTATTTGGATTTCCAGAAGGCATTTGACAAGGTGCCACACCAAAGGCTGCTACATAAGATAAAGTTGCACAGTATTACAGGTAATGTATTGGCATGGATAGAGGATTGGTTGACCAGTAGAAAGCAAAGGGTAGGGGTAAATGGGTGTTTTTCTCGTTGGCAGTCAGTGGCTAGTGGTGTGCCTCAGGGATCAGTGTTGGGACCGCAATTATTTACAATTTACATAGATGATTTGGAGTTGGGGACTAAGTGTGGTGTGTCAAAATTTGCAGATGACACTAAGGTGAGTGGTAGAGCAAAGTGTGCAGAAGACACTAAAAGTCTGCAGAGGGATATAGTCTAAGTGAGTGGGCAAAGGTCTGGCAGATGGAGTACAATGTTGATAAGTGTGAGGTCATCCATTTTGGTAGGAATAACAGCAAAATGGACTATGTTTTAAATGGTAAAAAATTGCAGCACGCTGCTGTGCAGAGGGACTTGGGTGTCCTTGTGCATGAATCGCTGAAGGTGGGATTGCAGGTGCAGCAGGTGATTAAATAGGCAAATGGAATTTTGTCTGCCATTGCTAGAGGGTTGGAGTTTAAAAACAGGGAGGCTATGCTGCAGCTGTATAGGGTCCTGGTGAGGCCACACCTGGAGTACTGTGTGCTGTTTTGGTCTCCTTACTTGAGAAGAGATATACTAGCACTGGAGGGGGTGCAAAGGAGATTCACTCGGTTGATTCCAGAGTTGAGAGGGTTGGATTATGAGGACAGACTGAGTAGACTGGGATTATACTCATTGGAATTCAGAAGAATGAGGGGAAATCTTACAGAAACATATAAGATTATGAAGGGAATAGATAAAGTGGAGGCAGGGAGGTTGTTTCCGCTAGCAGGTGAAACTAGGACTAGAGGGCATTGCCTCAAAATAAAGGGAAGCAGATGTAGGACTGAGGTCAGGAGGAACTTCTTCACCCAAAGGGTTGTGAATCTGTGGAATTCCCTACCCAGTGAAGCGCTTGAAGCTACCTCACTGAATGTTTTTAAGGCAATGCTCGATAAATTTTTGAACAGTAAAGGAATTAAGGGTTATGGTGAGTGGGCGGGTAAGTGGAGCTGAGTCTCAAAAAGATCAGCCATGATCTTATTAAACGGCGGGGCAGGCTCGAGGAGCCAGATGGCCTACTCCTGCTCCTAGTTCTTATGTTCTTATCTACATTCCTTAGTTTATTGGAGTTCAAGTTTCTTAACTCACTCTCCTTTTGATTTCTCTCTGTTTTTCCCTTTCCTCTTTTCTATTTCAAGTATTTTAATTTCTCCTTTCACTGGCCTTTTGTTTGTTTCTATATTCCTCTCTATCCATTTCAATTTTTGTTTTAAACTTCTAAATTTCTAACTGTATCTTAAGTTAATTCCAACTGTTATATTTCTGCTTTCCTGTCTCCTAATTCTAAATTTTGTACAATTTCTTGAAGCACCTCATCCTTAGGAGATATTCTTTTGGTTTCTACCTTCAATATATCTGCTATATCCCTCAAATTAGCCTGAGTCAAAGATTTTAAATAATCTACTGTTTTACTTTCCATTGTCCAGAAAACCTTTAGCAACATCCAAAATCATCTTCAAATTTTATGCAATAAAACTCAACACAACACTTTATGTCTCAGAATCATGCACTGGGGTTACTTTAACAAAAATGACTCAGATCATTCTTAAATCCCAAGTATCCTTAATTGTATATGGAGGTGCTGGCATTGGAATGGGGTGGACAAATCCAGAAGGGGCTACGCTCCAAAAGTTTGTGATTTCAAATAAACCTGTTGGACTGTAACATGGTGTTGTATAACTTCTGACTTTGTATATAAAATCGACATAGATCTGCATCAAGTGTATGTTTTTTTTTGCATCGGAGGACATCATAAAACTTTGGTCGAAGACGTAGGAAGCTCAAATCAATGGAAATTAGCTATAGGGGACAGCAGCTTGCAAAAATTTATTTTCTCTCAACTGGCTCTGACAATTCCAGTTTACCACACAAAAACAAAAACTGCCAAAGAAACCCAGCAGATCTGGCAGCATCTGTGGAGACTTGATGAAAGGTCACAGGACCCAAAACATTAACTCTGCTTTTTCTCTCCAGATACTGCCAGACCTGCTGAGTTTCTCCAGCAATTTCTGTTGTGTTTCAGATTTCCAGCATCTACGTTTCGTTATTTTATTTCAGTTTATCACAACTGCCTCTATCACAGTTAACCTCACTTTTGCTCTCACTAACTAGTTCTTTGTATGATTTTTGAATTGGGTAAAAATAAGCCTCCTCTAGCTCACATATGCATTGCAAGTAATGCAACATTTCTCTACGCACAAGTATGAATAGCTGTTGGCAATCAGAATAGCTAACAAAATGCTCTTTGTTCAGATGCTTCTATATCTTATATATGTTTCATAGATTTCAGTGAATCCATATTAGTCTGGTGGCTACAATGTTATAGATTGAAAGGCATATTATCAAATTGATTTTTTAAATTAATTTAGGTTTAAGTAAGTAATATAAAAATAATTATACAGACATCTAAAATGTTTCATCTATCCCAGATGCCCAGATAGATAGAAAAACACATCTGTGAAAACTAAGTAGGTCAGCAAAAATCCTACATGAGTTATTAATGTTTCATGATTTAGTGATAAAGCATTATATTACTTACTCTTTCGCCAGGTAAAGTTCAACGAGATCATTTTTCACCTTGCATTTAGTGAGCTTTAACTGATTTTGTATAACCTGTTTGTAATTTAAGGAATAGCATACAAATTAAATTTATTGCAATTTTAAATTCAAACATTCTGCTATTATTGTATTTTACTTTATGGCTATCGCCCTAAATACTTCTTTGATTAAATCAAACTGTTCCAAAATAATACTTTAACTTTGGTATGAATTTCTGATTTCCAATATCTTTTCAGAAAAATAACATGTGAAGAAATAGCAGTAAACTCAGAAAGTATATCACAATAGCACAGTAATGATCAAATAATTCTGCATTTTTCGGAGGCGCTCTATTCGAAACTACAGTATATCTGTTACACAAAGTACTGATCTCATTTTGAATGTTTTGCAAAGGTTGATAAAGAAATTTTCAGTTTTTAAAATCAATATCTCTACTTTTACCTTGCTAACAAACTTAAATCCATGAATATGTTCATCTAAATATAATCGAGATCCTGAGTCCCACTGTGCAAAACTACAAAGATACAAAGTTAATACAGGAAACAACTTACATCTGTGAATGCCTCCTGCCTACATACCTTACATGCAATTTCATGTTTTTGTCAGTCGATGGATCAACATTTTTCAACTTTAAACACTCATATCTAAATTGGAAACTGATGCAGATGTGTCACACTGTAATTGCAATCTCCCTCTGGTACCGGTTCTCTAGGACATTCACTGTGGTCAGTTGGGAATATTCTCATCTTAGATTTGTGCACTCTCGGTTTCAAGCCCTACTCAACAAACTTCATTCCAAAACGTCAGTTGACATTGTGTTTTATTTTCTGGGATATGGGTGTCACAAACAAGGCCAGCATATGTTGATCACTCCAAAGTGGCCTTGAGTGACTTACTCAGCTATTGATGAGGGCTGCTCAGAGTGGAGTTACATGTAGACCAGACAGAAGGACAGAAGATTTTGTTCCCTAAAGGATATTACTAAACCAGATGGATTTTTACATCAATGATGATAGTTCAGCACTTACCATTACTACACACGACCAGGTTTATATTCCAGATGTATTAGTTGAATTTAAATTCCACAACTGCCACGATGGAATCTGAATCTACGTTCCTAGAGAATTATCAAATCTCTGGATTACTAGTCCAGTGACATTACCACCTTGTCACCATGTCCCTCAGCATCTCACAGTAGTATTGAGAGAGGGCTTCCCTGTCCAAGGTGCCCCTCCAGGTACCATCTGAAGTCTCATAAGGTGATACAAGGTCCAACATCATTGAAAGAGAACAGTGAAGTTTTCTTTGTGTCTTAGACAACGTTTAACCATCAGCCAACAGATTATCTTTGATCTGATTCAATTTATTGTTGTCACATGTACTGAGATACAGTGAAAAACATTGTTTTGCATGCTCTACAGGTAGATTGCATCATACAAAGTGCATCCGATAGCAGAACAGAGTGCAAAATACAGTGTTAATGGTGCAGAGAGAGAGAGAGAGAGAGAGAGAGATCACCATCAACTTCAGAGAGATCCATTATTGTGTATTATGGGCCTTGCTGTACACATTAACTGTTATGTTCCTTGTTCTACAACACTTCAAAACTAACTTGTAAAATTCTTTGAGATACTAATTGGAAACTGGTCTATCGGCTCACTAACTTGATCATTACTGTGCAGCAAGGCTACTGCTGTTCTTGTCATTCTGAAAGAAAATTACACTTCACCCATACACTAAACTTAGTCATAGAATTTTTACAACACAGAACGAGTCCTATGGTCCATCATGCCAACACCAGTCACCAAGCATCTATCTAGTCAAATCCCATTTTCAAGCACTTGGATGAAAGACCAGTCTTACACTAAGGCATTTCAAGTATCTTTTATTTTCCTTGACTATTCCCACCTCCACCACCATTTCAGGCAATGAGTTCCAGGTATGCACATCCCTTCAGATGAAAAGAAATTTCCGCAAAGACCCTATAAACTATGTGATCCTTACCTTAAAACTGTGTCCCTACTTACTGACCCTTCTGCTAGTGTCTAACATTTCTCCATATCTCCCTGTCTATGCCCCTTGGAATTTCATACACCTCAATCAGATCTCACCTTTTCTACCCCTCAAATCTCCCTACAACCCCACCACCCCACCACCAGCCTTCCATACTTTAAGGAAAATAAACTTAGCCTGTCTTCATAACTGAATCTCGTCTGCACCCTCTCTACTTCTATCACACCCTTCCTATAGCCGAAACTGCAGTAATCCAGCTGTGGCCCAACTAAGTTGTATAATCAACTTGCTCTTGCATTCAATGCCTTGCTAATAAAGGCAAGTATCCTATTTGCTTTCTTAATGTAAAAAAAAATAGAAAATAGGAGCAGGATTACGTAATCCAGCCCTTTGAGCCTGCTCCACCATTCAACATGATCATGGCTGATCATCCAACTCAGTTCCCTGTTCTTGCTTTCCCCCCATACCCTTTAATACTTTTAGCTTTAAGAACTGTTTGGTCTCAAGTACTTTCTGTGGCAGAGAAGTTCTTAGGCTCACTGCTCTTTGAGTGAAGAAATTTCTCATCTCAATGCTAAATGGTCTACCCCATATCCTTAGCCTGAACTTCCTGGTCATCAGGAACATCCTTTCTACATATACCCTGTCCAGTCCTGTTAGAATTTTATAGGTTTCTATGAGATCTAACCCCCTCCCTCACCAAACAAATTCTTCTAAACTTCAATGAATATAGTCTTAAATGGATCAGTGTCTCTTCATGTATCAGTCCTGCCACCCCAGGAACCAATCTGCTAAACTTTTGTTGCACTCCCTCCAAATCCAAAATGTCCTTCCTCAGAAAAGGAGACCAAAACCGCACACAATACCCCAGATGTGATCTCACCCAGATCCTGTGCATTTGCAGCAAGACATTTCTACTCCTGCACTCTAACCTCACCACCACAGTAGATCATGAAAGTTGAATTCAGTGAAAATCTGGAATTAAGAGTCTGATAATGAGCACCATCTGTTGTCACTTGTCAGAAAACCCCATCTGGTTCACTGATGTCCTTTAGGGAAGGAAACTGCCATCCTTACCTGGTCTGGCCTACATGCAACTCCAGAACCACAGCAATGTGGTTGATTCTTAACCGCCCGCTGGGCAATTGGCCTAAAGTTTTCCTCTTCACCATTTACCACATCATCAACTTACACGTCATCTGTGAATTTTCCCATCAAACTTCTTACTCATGTTTGGATCATAAATGTACACTACAAACAGCAAGGTACTGTGGTACCCACTGGACACATGCTTCCAGCCAGAAAGTGTCCTTTGACCATCACCCTCTGCTTCATACACTAAGCCAATTTTAAATCCAATTTGCCAAATTGCCAGGGATCCTATGAGCTCTTAGTTTCTTAACCAGTCTGCCATGCAAGACTTTGGCAAAAGCCATAAAGAAGTCCATGTTGACTACCTTCATCTACATACCTAGTTAGTTAGTTAGTTGAAACATTGCTTCAAAGGCTGATATCCCACTACCAATCACCCTTTATTTACAAATGTATAGCCTATGACAATAGCACTACCTCTCACTGAGTCAGGCACTAAAATGACAGTATCCCTAATATTCCCTCTTTTATGTTAGCCAGGTTTTCCTGAGTGGACCAGGTTAACAGCCCCAATCAGGGAACTCATATTCTATGATGTCCAGCTGGCTGACTTCATTACAATCACTACATTAGACATGATCAAAGCCATGCTGACTATCCTAGATTAATCGTTTACCTCCAAGTGGAGACTAGTTCTCTTCCTACTGCTAACATTAAACACATTGGCCTGTTGTTTCCTGGTTTATCCCTACTATCCTTCTTGCGTCATGGGACCACATTAGCTGTCTTGCAGTCTTATATTACCTCTCCTGTGGCCAGAGAGGACTTGAAAATTACATCAGTGCCCCTGCAATCTCCTCCCTCGTGTCCCTTAGCAGTCTTGGACTTTATCTGCTTTCAAGTCTGCTAAAACTGTGAATACCTCCACCCTCTTGATGTTCATTTTGTCAAATACATCACAATCACTTTCCCTGAATTCTGTGGCTATATTATCTTTCACCATAGCAAATACAGATACAGAATTCTCTAATATGCTTCCCAGTTCCAAACACACATTGCTCCTTTGGTCGTGAACAGGCCGTACCCTTTTCCTGGTTATTCTCTTTCTCCTGAAATACTTATAAAACACCTTTGGATTTCCCTTAACCAGTGATTTTTCATGTCCTCCGACTGCTCATTTCTTTTTAATTAAGTAACCCCCTGCACTCTCCATACTCATCTTGGGCATCTGCTGGTTATGAACAATTGGTGTGAGTTTCCTTTATTATCCCTCTTATCCAATCCTTCCACTTCAGTCCAACTGCTGATATTGGAAAATAATAACCCGTGGACCGAAATCTCAAAACAAATGCCATGCAACATCCAAGATCTGTGAAGAATCTAATTCCGAAGGTTTTGAACAACACTCAACCTGAAGGATGTGCACCGTGCAAACTCATCACTGTGCTCCAGTAACCCACTGTGACCAGGAGCAACTGCTGGAGATTTCACTAGTGAACTATGAGTGAGTGTATGGAGAGGGGAGTGAGTGGGACTGAAAGAAGGGAAGGGGTTTTGGGGAAGCGGCTGCTAGAGTGAGTGGTCTGACGCAAAGGAGCAGGTTTCCCCTCAAATTCCGCTCCCGGGCCCGGGCCCGGGCTCCGCCAATTCTCTCACCTCCTCCGCCGCCATCGGCTTGTCCACAGGGGTTGCCTAGCGACGTGACGTCACTGCGCCGTCACAAAGGAACCTGACGCTCACCCCGCACCGCCCATCCCGGCCACCACCGCCCACGGCAATGTGCACCTCCCACTGCAACCACTACCGCCCACTGCAATGTGC